GTAACAAATGGTGCCACCAAATTTTTCCAGGAAAGTTGGGCAACTCATTGCTAAATTTTTTTCTTATAATTTTAAATAATTAAATATTTAAAAATTGAATAATTAAAATACTGTAATAAAGTTACTTACATATTTTCCAAAACAAGTGGAACTTGCCATGAAATTACTGCCTGTTGCTGTCTAACAACAAATAAAATGGGAATTCCTTTCGTTGCATTAATGCTGTTCACCTTAACCCTGATAGCCGAATTCTGTAAAAATAGAAGAAAAATGTTTCTCTGAATGTATATTTAGGAAACAAAAATTGATTGAAATGCTGTTATAAGCAAAAAGAAGTTATTGAATTTCATTGAATCTTATATACTTTTGAATAGTTTGTTAAAGATATTACCCCCAAATTTAAAACATTCAAATTTAATACAAATTTGATTTCTATATGTTGACAACAATAAACAACACGACAGAGGCAATTCAATTTTAAACATATTGTAAAAAATACAAATAGTAAAGACTAATACAAATAAAAATATTGACGTCTTCCTTGTTGTCCTTTTCATTATCTCAGGAAAAATTATCAACATTGGCGAAGTCAACCTTTCTTTATAAACTACTTCCCAGCCTACAGCTATGCAAATCAAGTAGAAGTTCTGTGACTTCGTATATTTTCCATAAAATTTCATATTATAAATAAATTTCTAAAAACATATGTTCAAAAGTATATTTCATCCTAGATTTTTCTTTTTAAAAATTTATTTATAAGAGACAATTCAAATTTAAACATTTCAAATTGAAATTGCTTCTAATAATTAATAAAAAACAATCTGAAAATATTTATCCTAAAAAATATTTTGAATGTTCTTATATATTAACGTATCACATGCAATAAACATTACAAGACAACCATTATAATTCATGCAAATAACCAATAGATTAGCTATGTTTGAAAGTCAATTTAACAGTGAGAGCAGATTATGAGATGGTATGAATTATCTACTGATTTTAACTTGCAATTATAAACTCAACAAACAGGTTTTCATTTATATAAAATAATTCAATGGGATAAGGCAATGCAACAGATAAGCAATCTGCAAGGTGCGATGCCTCCCAGGAGGACTTTTTATGGGAAACTTATCCCTATTTAGGGTTTATGAACATGAAAAAAACACAGAAAAATTCACTCTGCCAACCCTATGGCAAAGCACAAAACTGCAAACTTACAATTGATTTTCAGTGTTTGGTGATTTTATCCACTCAGCCAAAGGTGGGCCCTAAAGAATTGTAATATTTTAAGTTTGAATAACAAACTAGCAAATAAAACTGACAAATGCAAAATAAAATGTATTGTCTCTCTTCTATACAGGTATACGTCGCTTTACGTCGGTAATTGGTTTCAGGAGAGGCAACGTAAGTCGAATTTACTTATCTCCAAATCTACTTGTCACTAGGCTAAACCATAAATTATCATTCCCAGTTCTGTATTTTATTTATTAATGCATTTTTAATAATATATGGTTAATAAGGATCTATTTTAAGCTTAAAACAAATAAATTTTAGTTTTTAATATAGTACAGAAAAAAGTAATCTAAATTTACAAATGCATGTATTGTAAATATAGTACATACTTGTAAATGTATATATTTTAATATGATTTTATGTGCATTAAACGCTTTTATAGTGATATTACGACTTCAATATTTATGGCGGACAGATGAATAAAATGGCTTAAACTTGATTTTTATTTTTCCATATACTTTTTTGACAAACGACATATAATCAGGAACGACGTAACTCGAAACGACGTAAGTCGAGGTATACCTGTATTAAGTCACTGATTCAAAAGAACAGTCAAAAATTTGACTGGCCATTAATCTGAATAACTTCCTTAAAATTGCATCATGTTCAGTCAATACCCTCAATGAAAAAAAAAAAAATGTATTTTAAAGCCAGGGTGCAACAGCAATCAAAAATCAAGTCAGAATTACATACGGTAAAAAATTCTTATAAATAAATTTAGAAACAAAAAACAAACACATTGAAACAGAATTAACAATTTAGAAACAGAATAAATGTAGATTTGAACATAATGAAGTTCAATTTATTTGTTGAACATAAAGAGAGTTTAATATATTTGAAAGTAATTTAAAAAAGAGAAACTTAGTTTTAATTAATATAGTAGTAAATGAACTGAAAAAATTTATTAGTGAAAATTTCAGAGTTCATTACAAAGGTGTCTGGAAACTTAGATGCTTTATAGACTTAAAAACAATAGGAATATCAATATCTGACAAATAGGAACATAAAAGCTACTACACACATAAGAACAATACACATTTTATCCTGGAAAATGAAATTGCCACATGCACATATTAAGGAGGAATTTATTCATAAAGAATTTTTGGAAAATATACTGGATTTGAGGTTCCAGCAATCAAAAGCAGATGTTTTAAGGGAAACAGGAAGAATGCAATTGACAGTTTTCTTATGAAAATGGTATTAAAATATTATACTTTACAAGAATATTGGAGTTATCTGGGAAAGAACTATTATATTTCATCATAATAAATTCACATCCTGATGATGCTTAACTCAGTCGAAAAAGTTAATAAATTAATTTTTCCAACCAAGACTTTCAGATCTCTATTTGTTCATCTTTAGAGTTAATTTTCAAAAATAAAACTACTCATGCTCCACATGGCTAAAGGTCATTAATAATTTTATTTTTGAACTATTGAACAGAGTCATTTAACAACAACTCATATCAACTTTCATTACAAATGTTCCAAATTCTTCTGCAAACATTTCTAGAACATTTTGTATAATTGCAACGACTTCTTATTGAAACTATAATTCTATCTGCAAATTTCAAATCGACATTCCACTCGAATCATTGCGGTTCATACTTGAAGTTTAAATGCACATTATTTCCCACTTCTTTTATAAATAAAACAAATATCAGGAGTGAAAGAAAGAAGGAAGATATCGATAAAGGACATTTGAAAAGTTCTTTTCCAACAGTGAGACATTGATAACAATTCATCGTATTCCAGCAGCAACCAAATTATACCAGATTTTGGTCAGGACAATTCAAATAAAAGTATTTTACCACCCACAAAAGTTTTTGCACAGAAAAATTTATTCAACATACACCAGTACCCCGATGTAGCGATACAGTGTTTCAACATCTAACTGGCGATGCCAGCAGTCCAACCCACAAATTTTTTTTACCAAAAGGTGCAGTTAATTGCATTTGCCGACCAAAAGAGGAGAGAGGAAGGGTAAGACACAAAATAAGATTGCAGATGTAAATGACGCCATTGGGACTTTAACAGAGATGTAGAGAATGTCCGTAGGAGCAAAAATAGTCAAAGGAACCGTACCTCTAAATGTGACCATCAACCAGATATAATCCCCAAATTGACCTAAAACCTACTTCTGGACGCTATATAGCCACGCTACATGCTCTCTTAACCCCGTCGCACGTTCAACACACTGCACGACAGGGCTATTTGACATTCTAACAATATTTGTCAGTAAAAACTGAAGAAACGTCCGACACGCAATTCTTTGTCGGATAATCGCCTCCGAACACGGAACTTAATGCCGGCAGTTCCGGTCACCGTCACGCTCGCCCGCAAGTCGTTACGGGTATGGCAATCGGTGCCCATCACATATATAAAAAATGCATTAACCCGTACCAACTAAAAACACCTTCGACTGGTACTACTGCCTTTTCTTCGTGCTCCACGTCGCTCGCCTCAATCCAAGATCCGCAGGTAGTCGCGCACACCATAGCCAGCTATCGCTCGCACCTCGGCGCCCACGTGGGATCGAACCCCCGCACCCCCTAAAACTATATATCGTAAAGTACACCACCAACAGTCGGGTGGGCTACTCGAAGCCGACATAGTCACATGACTATATGGTTAAACGCCATAATCTTAGCGGCGCTCCGGCTCGTTAAGGTCCCAACGGCGACATCACATTCGCAATCGTACCCCAACGGGTACGGTCAATAACTCATTCGGAAGTGTTATTGTACCGAGAGGGGGCGTACTTGCCTGATTGCGGCCGAACTGGTATCGATACCAATAGGTGATCTGTCGATCGCTTCGGACAGCATTGTCGTACTCCTGAGAGAAATTGGCCCGGATTTCTACCACATTCGACGAACGACACCGGCTTCCTAGAAAGGAAACGACGAGTAAACACTCAAACAACATCTCGCCTTCACTTGCGATCGTCTCAGCTGACCGCCGAGTTAGTGTTGCCAAGTAGGCAACGTCACCGACGATAATTCCTACAAACGTCTAGAACCTGAACGAGCATTAATGTCAATTTATTCCGCACCGTGGCGCATACGCAACGTCGGCTTTTTCGCCCGATCCGAAGAGAAAAACTAGCGCGTTCCTCATTGTTTATCCATCGAGGAACTCGTTATACGTTAAATAAAACGGAACTAAGCGAGTTTAGTTTAAAATATAGTCGAAGATAAAGTTCAAACGAGCGTATTGAGACAAGCAAACAAATAAAGGACGATGACGGCGGTGAGAAAAATATTAAAGTATTTAACAGCGGGTCGTGTTTACCTACGTATCACGAATCAACCAGCAACGAGTCGCTCAACTTTCTCGGCAACATTTAAAATTTTGGTGGTGCCAACTATTATCATATTTTATTTTAAAAACTTTTTATATGTTTAACTATTATAAAATGGCAAAAAGCTTAATTTTGCCATTTTACATACGACCCCATTATCTCCCCACCCCTTCGACCTTTAATTACAAAAATTTAATGGCATCGATCTCCCTAATAAACAAACCTTCCCGAAAAATTTCAGAAATTTTCGACAAAAAGGATAGGAGTTATTAAGCTTAAAACATGGTGAACAAAATCGTGCCCCCCACACACACACACCTATATACACTAACATCCACAAATACAAAATTACCACCGATTTTTTTTTCTTTCTGCATTTCTCGGTGTTTCAAAGAGTCCTAAGTCCAAAAATGTAAAAATCTAAGGAGTCATTTTTTTGCCGGATTGCCATACAGTACTTTCTCTCTGTTATAACAGACAGTAAGTAATTACGACAAAACATAAATATTTGTACGTCGATTAATAATTCGGCAAAAACGACGAAGAAAAACGGAACTTGTTACGAACGAAAGGGTGGACGAAGGTGGGTTTAGACAGAGTTCGAATGTCGAGTTACCGAGGCGATTCGCTAGCCACTTTCGGGAGTGGGAAAGGTGTTCCATATTCTCGCATTTATAATATCATTTACGATCTAAGCGATTAATAAAATTCCTTGTAGGGATTTGTCCGCTTTGTAGTTGACGAGTACTGTAATTTTTCCAACATCTTTACTTTATTTCATAGATTTATAAAAAGATTACACCCGAGCCACCTCAAAGCANTACTTTGAAGGGGATTAGGGTTTTGTACCTCAAAGTCAATAAATTTATTTTTGCCGACCAAAGGTCCGATACTTTTTGAACAGACCTTGTATGTATAGAATGTTTAGGTAAAAGTCTAGATCCGTATGACAGAGCTGTAGAGCATATTGATAGGAACAAAAAAGTCAAAGGAACCGTGCCTCATGGGAATTTGTAAAGAACGCCCACTAGGGGGAATCCCGGGCTACTAGTTATATATAAAACAACAATTGAACAAACCCAATTTTTCATTAAAGCCAGATGATATGCTGAATTATTGAGCTTTAACTAGGCTGTTACTTTGTATCTAATTATTAACTTAGTCTAATTATAGCCTGGTAATTCAGCAGATCACCTGGCTTTAACCTCACATTTAGTTATCTCCAATTTTAGTACATCAATTCACATTTTAATTGATATAATTAGCCTACTTAAGCTTGTTTGCTGAAAGTATGTAATTCTCTGATAATTTCCACTTTTATTTGTAATGACTCAAAAGACAACTATCAATTTTAGCATTTATTAATTTTAGAGAATTAACATGAGTTAAGTAATTAACTCTCAAATGTGTGTCATCAGATAACATACAACCTATATGCAACATTCTTCATAAAATCAATGACAAATGTATAGCATAATAATAAATAAATAAAATTAATTAATTAAATTTCTGTTCAATTACTTCATATCTGTTAAGGTGATCATGCCTGCAAGTTCTACATTCTCTCTGATAACTCTTAAAAAAGATTCTATGATTCTATTCATAGTAATAAGCAAAGTGGTATGACTTTGACACAATGAGAACTAAATAAGAAGGTCCAGGATTTTTGGAAAAAGTCATTTAATCATTAAACATTGTGCAGATTAATATACAATATGATTAATTGATTAATAGAACAGTGCAGCATTTATCTTTTCGCAAACAAAATTATAGTAGTTAATACAAATGACTCCTTTGCTTTATATAGTAGGCAGACTGCCATTCTAGACTCTTATAACTTTTTTTTATTCAGAAAACACTTTCTAGCTTCATTTAGAACAGCAATGCACAAAGAGACATTTGTCAAAGGTCTGATGGCTGATTCGATGGCCAGATGGCTGAGCGGTCAACGTGGTAGCCTACTGCTCTGGGGGGACCCAGGATCAAATCCTGATGAGTCAAAAATTCCCCAGGAATTTTTCTGGGAGGTGGTCTGTTAGGATGTGTTGGGCCTCGTCCCTCACCACCCGGTTGCCCCATTGTGGGCCTGCTAAAAGGAGGCCCTCTAGTGCCAACAGGGAGGAAAGAGTTAAAAAAAAAAAAAAAAATTGATTTGAGATTTTAATATATTTTGAAGTTTTTCAAATAATTGGCAAAAATAGTAACATGAACTCTAAGCATCCTGTATACAGATTCTGAAAATGAAATTTGATGTAATAAATTTATTGATTTTTGGTCATTAATAAAAGATAAATGAGGATGTTTGTTTGTTTGTTTGTTTGCTATGCACGCCTAGACTGTTTGACCAATTGCTACAAAACTCGACAGTTATGTTCAAATAGCTCTATCTCAAATTGATATTTTGGGGTGATAACATCATACATATCACCTCAAAATATCAATAGGATTTTTATATATCAATTAATTTCTGTCTACTTTCGAGTTGCTGGCTTTACATGTAGTGCCATTTATTGGGAAAAATTTAAGAAAATAATAAATAAATATATTTCTTATAAAAAGGATATTTTATAAAAATTTATATTATATTCATTTAATTACCATGACAATGATATAATAGATGCGCTATTATGCCATTACTGCATCAAGTAGCAAATAGCACTTGCCTGCATGGATTGGAGTAGTGTTTCCCCTGTACATCCTACTTTTCCTGTTAACAATGGAATCATACCAGTTAGGTATCTAACTTCATTCAGAGAAAAATTTTTGTATTGAAATAATGTGACCTGCAGTGCAAATTGGAAGTTCTTAAATAGTTAATCTGGTTCTCCTGCTCTTAAGCTTTCCATATCTGATCTTGACTTTCATCTAACTAACTCTGTTCCCGAGAGTAAAGAAGGATAACCTTCAAAGGTTCCCTTTACTTACATGTTTTTACTGAGCTTTATTTTTTCAATCGATTTTTCAATCGCCATTTATTTATTTTTTATGGGATCACATAAAAGCAATTAATCTAGAATATTTACAATATTTTTATAACTCTTATACAAAGTCTTTCAGGTGTTACAGTTAGCAACATGGATCACATGTGGAGTCATCACAACCTATTCAATATAAATCACTTTTCAAATATTAATAGTTGACCAGCATTAATCAGTAACCATTGACTATCCTCTCTTCTAGGACTACTGTTTTTTATCAAATTAATTTCAACCCCTTCCTCAACAGTCCCTTCTTTCTATCAAACTCAGTGGTATGGTGGCATTCAAATAGGAAAATTACATAATACAAGGCTACCAGTGAGCACAAAATACGTTTTCAGTTGTTTCGAGGGTGCTGAGTTTAAATATTTGGTCTGTTTTCGCATAATTTTATTCATTGCCAGATTATCATTTGATATTTGGCTGTGAACTGCACAATTTGCTAGAGCTAACATTAGAAAAAATATATCTTAAATTTTTAAAGATATTTTCAATTGTAGTCTACTTGACCAATGAAATTGTGCCATTTTGTATCATCTGAGTATCGCAATAAACATGACAATGTTAGGCTAAAATAACCAAACTCTTTATATGGTTTTCATTTTAATGTTTGTTATCTATACTAATATTATAAAGAGGTGATGTTTGTAAGTAAATATGTAAGTAAATAAGTTTGGATATAGCAGGTAATCTCCGAAACTACTCATCCAATTTCAAAAATTCTTTCACCAATATTTAGAATAGAACTTCAGGCTGGACATAGGCTGTATATTATTCTGTTAAACATTCATATAAATTAAATGATATCATCTATGGTTAAGGCTTTTATGTCCAACAGATGGCGCTACGAGTATGATGCCCTAAGTTTGCTTTTCTGTGAGGCATTATGCTTTTCTGTGAAAATGAACTAAAGCGGATCATCTTCTATCTATTTATATAAATAAAAATGTAATGTTCGTTTGTTCCTACCGATTCCTTTGACGCTGCATTCGAATATGCACGTGTTTTTATATAATATACATGTCGAAATTCCCCCCACTAGGGGGAGATGGACAGGATTAAGGCTTACTGT